GCCTCCTGTCATTGAAACGGTGGCGGCCTTGTTGGTAGCGTTGTTGGGGCTGCGGACGGCGGCGCTGCTGTTGTTGCTGCTGACAGTGCTGGGGCTGTTGTCTTGGCTGGTAAGACTGCCTGTAAGATGAGCGATTCCATGACCACTTACATCTGGTCTGGGTCTGTATCTCCATCCTGCGTGCTGCCATCCGGGATTCGTGCAGCTTTTTTAGTTTGTGGTCGGTGCGGGAATGGAAAAGCCCGGACCCATCAAGGGGCATTTCCTCTATACGGTGCTTGGTTTCCTCCGGAAAGTTGCAGTTTCTAAGCCAGGTGTGTCTCCGGAGTGAAACGGCACCGACCAAGGCCCTCGAGTCTGTGTCCACGTGGTGCCTGGCTGTGGAAAACCGCTGAACAACGACCTGCATTGCTTCCTTGATAAGGACCTTAGCCAGGTCACCCTGGTGGTCCGGGAGAGTTGAGGAAACGTTGTGGAGGCGCTGCATGATGAAGTACTGGTACCTCGTCAACGTCGCCTCGTAATTTGAGATCCGCAGCCCCAGGCCTGAAGCAGCGTAGACTCGCCTAGCCAGGGAGTCGATCTTTCGACCCTCCTTGTCTCGTGGTGCCGTGTGCCCTCTTGCCTCTCTGCCTTGGGAGGACTCCACTACGACCAAGTTCGGCTTGGGGTGGCGGAGGAGGAAGGGGATGTCCTCCTCCCGAACCCGGTACATAGATTCGTACCTCCTGGACGTAGGCTGAGGGTGGGAGGGCAAGTCCCAGGGCTGCGTCATCGCTTGCTGAAGGGTGGTTATGAGCAGCAGGACGATCAATGTCAACTGCTCTCCGCGGACGACGTCGTAGAACTTGTCCGTTGTCGGTCCTGGACGCTGGACGGCATTGATGTCGAGGGACTGGACAAGTCTGGACATCAGCTCCGCGAAGGAGACATGAGATTCGTCCAGTGACACAGGACCCTGGGATGTCACGGCGATGTCTGGGGAGGTTGAGTTGACCTCCAAATCATCAGAATCGGCACTGTAGTATGGTGGAGCCGATGACAAAGTCTCCGCTGGAGAAAAAGAGCGGCTGCTTCCATCCCAAGGGGATCGTGGAGATACATGTCTCGGGTCCGAGGGATGTGGTCGGTCGCAAGATGGTGGAGAGGACCAACGCCAAGGAGCGGGGTAATATCCTACGCAGAGTGGATCACACCTGGTATGATAGTAGAGGCGACGCCATCCCTCCGAACGTTGCTCCACGGAGCGGCTCCTCCGGCTCCCAGGCGGGGACATCCCTACATCCACCTTCACAGTGGCCGTGGGCATGGGTGTAGGCGACCTAGCCCTAGGGGGAGAGTCCTGAATTTCCCCATCAGAAATCGAGCCCCTCTGCAGAGTTGGAAGGGCCGCAGATGGGAGGTCAGCCACGCGGCGCGGGGACCCTTGAGGGGTAACCCGCATAGCCTCCTGAAGAACCAGGTCGGGTGGAGTCGGTACCGTGAGCACCGCCAGTACCGAGGGTGTCATCAAATCCGAATCCTGGTGACGAGGACGCTCCGAGTCCCTCGGTTTTTTGGAAGGCTTGGTGACTTTCTCCTTCCTGGCCTTCTTATGGCCTGCTGACTTATCGGGTTCGGCATGCTTCCGCTTCTCATGCTTCTTTTTGGGGGAAGCAGAGGAAGCCACCGTAGCAGACACACCTTCGTCCGAAGGGCGTGAAGGTGGGGCTACTGAAGCAGAGCCAGGCTTTGGAGCAGAAAGCAACGGGTTGGACTGCATGAGAGCCCGATCCCAAAGGAGCCTCCAGAGGCGGTTTTCACAATTCTTCCTGGCCTGCTTGGAGAAGGCCAGGCAGTGGGCACATTTATCGGTACTATGCCCCTCGCCCAGAGGAGGCATAGGTCATGCGGGTCAGTTGGTGACATTTTTGACCTGCACTCCGCGCATTTGCAGAAAGCCGCTCGCTGTGCCATTGCAGAAAAAGGAAGAAGAGAGAGAGAGTGCAGAGGATAAGTATATATTTTTGTTTTTGTTTTTTTTAGATAGATCGAAAGAAGGTAGAATGATAGAGAAAAAAGTACAGGAACTATATGAAGCAGAGATAGTTAACTAACAGGAATAAGGAGAAAAAAACGGGACTATAGAACTGGAACAATCGAGAAGAAAAGGCTAACGAGTAACAGTCAGAGCGAAAGTCGAAAGCGGCACGAGGCACAGCGAATGGCGGTCGCAAAGACTGAACAAAATGGCGGATGCTCCGCTCTTTATAGACCACGGGGGGAGGGGGAGCGATGCTTCCCGCCAAAAACTGTTAGCTGGCAATCTTCCGGCCAAAGGCACTGCGCAGGCGCAACACCCATATGTGTGATGCACAGAGGCCACGACAAAGAACACTTCAAATGTAAATCACTTTTTTGCCCTAAATGTTTTTTGTTTGTTTCTTTCTTTCCAGCAAATAAATTCTTAAACAGTGTGTGGTTGAATTTCAGGGACATTATGCAAGTAATATTAGTAGTATGCTAAAGAGGACGATGCTGTAGGATTGGACAAATTCATGGAAGAGAAAGCTATCAATGGCTATTAGTCCTTATGGCTATGTGTGCTGCCTCTGGTATCAGAGGCAATATGCCTGTGTATAGCAGTTGCTGGGGAATTTGGTAAGAATGGCACTTTTGCACTCATATCCTGTTTGTGGGATCTTGTAGGAAGCTAAGTGGGCACTGTGTGAACAGAATGCTGGACTACATGGACTACTGTTCTAATCTAACATGGCTCTTATGTTCTTTTCTACTCTTCTGTAAATTCTGCACCAAAAATTGCATTTGGTTTTGCTCTTTAGGCTGTCAATAGCAGAATTAAGTGAAATACTGCTTCCAGTGAAATTGTTATACACCAGTTCCATGTCTCTACGTCATGGCAGCTATGCCATGGGGTACCACAGGGCTCCATTCTATCCCCTCTGCTATTTAACATCTATATGAAACCGCTGGGAGAGGTCATCAGGAGGTGTGGGCTGCGGAATCATCAATACGCTGATGATACCCAGCTTTACCTCTCGTTCTCCACTAATCCAGGTGAGGCAGTGGCTGTGCTGAACCGGTGCTTGGCCGAGGTAAGGGAATGGATGAGGGCCAATAAACTGAAACTCAACCCAGACAAGACGGAGGTCCTGTTGGTTGGCGGATCGGGTTTCGGAGAGGGTGGATTTGACCTGGTCCTGAATGGTGCAACAATCCCTCTTAGGGATAAGGTCTGCAGCTTAGGAATACTCCTCGACCCGGAGCTTTCTTTGGAAGCTCAGGTGACAGCGGTAGCGAGGAACACCTTCCTTCTGCTTCGGCTGATTAATCAGCTGCGCCCCTACCTGGAGTACGACTGCCTGGCGACGGTGACACACGCGCTGGTGACTTCCCGCCTAGACTTCTGTAACGCGCTTTACGTGGGGCTTCCCCTGAAGACAGTCCGAACACTTCAATTGGTGCAAAATAGAGCTGCCAGGTTGCTGACGGGGATGGGGCGTTATGCTCACATGACTCCAGTCCTCCGTCAGCTTCATTGGCTTCCCATTGAAGCCCGGGCCCAATTCAAGGTGTTGATTATGACCTATAAAGCCCTAAACGGCTTGGGTCCTGGCTACCTGAACGAGCGCTTACGTCCGTATATGCCCGACCACCCTTTGAGATCTGCGGGAGAGTCCCTTCTCCGGGAACCCTCCATGAAAGAAATTAGGAGAGTAAGAACCCGGAGGAGGGCTTTCTCTGCGGTGGCGCCCAACCTATGGAATTCACTCCCCAAAGAGGTCCGCCTGGCACCGTCGTGACTGGTTTTTCGGCGGCAGGTAAAGACCTTTTTATTTAAACATCATTTCAATTGTTAAAACATATGATCTGGCCAGGGCAACTTCTTCTTCCTTCTCTTTCTCCTCCTATATTTTTATTTTATACTGATAATTTTAATGTTATATTTGTAAATCAATGTATTTTTTGTATTTTTATATTTAATGGTAATTTATTATGTACTATTGTATTTCAATGTATTTTATCATGTTGTAAGCCGCCCCGAGGTTTCGGCAAGGGGCGGCATAGAAATGTTATAATAATAATACTAAGTTTCTTAAAATTTCCCAAGTACCTCCAAATGTTATGACTGACCTAGGTTAGTGAAAAGGCAACTATTCTTAAATAAATGTAGTTATATTTTACTTGATTTCCTTTATTATGACATCATGATAATTGGGATAAAATTTACAGACTGCCAGCCCACTTCTAATTTACATAGGTTTCCCAGACTAATCACCTAAACCCAAACCTCAGTCACCATGTGACTGTTGGGAGTGAGGAAAATGGCTGCTTTGGCTGCACCTTCTCAAGGGCTGCTGGCTGGTCTCCAGAAGACTCAGAAACAGAAGAATGAGAGGTGCAGGAGGGGACCTGAGAACAAGGGCCATCCCAGACACTGCGATGAGAGAAGCAGAAATGCTTATCTCAAAACCAGTCTCCCAAGATAGGTAGGCAGTCCCTGGGAATAATCAAGATGTAGTCGGTGCGAGGGCCCTTGCAGCAGGGAAGTTTCTCAGACACAGATGCAGGGGGCACAGCTCTTGATCCCATAAGGCATCATCAGCAGAAGAGGGTATCCAATTAGAGGATGCAGGGAGGAATTATGTCCATTTTTATGCAGGGAGGACATATACCCATTTTCAGAAAGCCCTTTCCAAAAGGGATCAGGGCCAGTCATGCTCATAAGGGGAGTTCCTAGAAATGAATACTAGAATGGACTCAACAAACTGCTCTGTGTATCCTCAGAGATTCATTATTGGTGTTTGTGCATCTGGAAAATGCTTTGGTCAATAAGAACATTTTGCAGGAAAGGTTTCTGGCTTTGAATCTGTGAAGGGAAGAACTCTAGCTTATGACAGTGATTAAACAAGAGCCTAAATACAAGTCTGCCTTATAAAGCATTAAAAGCAGAAGTCAATGTAATGATAATCTTACTGATAATGTAATCATAATCTTACTGATAATCTGTTTACAGTTTTGCAGCACAAAGGTAACAGCCTTGTGAAGTTCTTCATCCTGTGATTCTGTTAGTGCTTGGATCATAATTGGAAGGCCCTTGTCCTTAACCAGAGTATACTGATTTTCCTCTAAAAAGAAGCATTAATCCCAATAAAATATATTTGTCCAAACTGTAGGGTTCATTAATACTATTTCACAAGGTCTTTGGAAGTAAAAGCAATAGATTTGCAATGAAATAGCAGTGCAAGTTATTTTCATATCTGTGGTTAAAAATCCTACTGAATGCCTTTCTCCCTCCTTGACAATAAATCAGTAACAATGATAAATTAAATCATTAACCAATGTTTGCCTTTCCATGACAATCAGCTGGCCGAGATGACCCCTCACTCTATCTAATAGCAGGGCCAACCATGAAATAGGGAGGCAACATAATCCCCAGTAGGCAGTTAATAATTCACTCCAAGAACTGTGCATATACAAGTGAGTCTTCAAACAGATGTGCAACAGACAAAAATGTGCTACTGGAACCAAGATAAAACTCACACGTCTCACATGTCATCTGTTTCACCAATGTATCAGTATGGTTCTACAATCTGAGCAAATCAATGCCCAACTGCAATTCATATTTATAGTTAAATGATGAGTCATAAGGAAGACCCAATTAATTTAGCAGGACTTATTCTCAGATAAAATAGATTACAGCCTAAATAGTGTATACTTAAAAGCAGTGCTTTTTTTTTTTTTTTTTTGGTCTAGAACGCACTGGAACAGAGTTCCGGCACCTTTTTTCAATGGATTTCCCAAGTTTTAAAAGTAACTTGAAAATTTGATGTTTGGTCCATGTGGATTTGAATCGCCCTGTCGAGCATAGCAAGTTGGTGGCAAAATCATTAACACAGTGCATGTGGGCTGCTTGTGTGTCAAGTCCGATGCATGCATACTTCGTTCGCACTGGTTGTGATGGCGCTGCTCGGCTTGTGATTGGTCGTGTGGTCGTGCACTGAGTGCTTACTGAGGGCAGCAACCATTATGGTTCGTTACACAACTGACGTGTTGTGTGTGTACCATGATTGACTACGTGCGAAAGGTAAATAATTTCTTTATTTTAAAAAAACGGTGAATTGAAAATCTTTTTTAAATTTTTACTGTAAAAGTGTGACCCCAAATTTAAAAATGAAAAAAATTACTAATTACTTCTCAACCACCAGTCCTGCTAATAAAAAGGCCAGAATATTAACAGACACAACAACAGAACACATAGATATGAACAGCAGGGAGAGAAGTCAAGAAGATCTGTCGGACGAGAATTGGACAAAACTCTGGAATTCACTATGAACATTTGCCTTAAATACAATAAATTAATGTTAAGAACTGAATATATAATGTTTTAAATAAAAGATTAACATGATGTGAGTTCTGGCACCTTTTTTCTTACAAAAAAAAGCACTGCTTAAAAGTAATATAGAACTACACAAAGTTTTAATAGGGAAGAGGCGATACACATGTTTTACTGGGCATCTAACAAGAGCACATTTACTTTGCTTTATGTTTCACTATCTCATTTGAGTGAAAGTCAAAGCATGGCTGTTAAAATCAATCACAGATGACTTCAGCAACATCAGTTTTGGTAATTCATGGCTAATTATCAGATAGAATAATAGTGCATTGGTATTCCTATGCAATCTATACCTAAAGCATTTAATATGTTTAATTTTAAAATGACAGAAAAAGAATCCTACCACATCCTTCTGTACAATGTCCAAGCGTAAGTATAATGCTAAACTGTTCTTCTGTATCCAAAATGTTACAGGAAAGCAGTCTCAGTAGATTTGGTACAATATTATATTTGGACAAGCTAACTGCAATTGCAGCTATTGGTATAGAATAGAAAAATGTTCATTAAGCATGAAATACAATATAATATAAAATAGTTCTTTTTAGGGTACCTGCTACATCTTTTCTTCTAACCATCTCACATATTCACCTAACTTCAGGCTCTAAGCATAGGAAATATGAAGTGTGTGTGGAACAGAAACACAACTGAACAGATTAAAATGTGCTGCCTCTCATATTCTTTGCAGAATCTTAATCTATCTTAAATTATTTTAATGCAGTTTACAGTATAATAAAAAGTTAATAAACAAGGGCAGATCCTGGCAATATGACTAAATATTAGTCTAAGAACATCTCATTCTGTAGGGATGTATAAGCCTGACTTGTGCCTAGAAAAATAGATGATAGTTAGACAGGAAGATATGCTTGCAGAACACAAATTGTAGCTATCAAGTTATTAAAAGGTATTTGACTCTGTCCACTCACAGTTATCAGCAATACAGGCATCCAAGGTTTTTGTCACCACAACTGCAAGTTTTGTGCTTGAAAAATTTCCAGATGAATTGTCTATCAATTTAACAAGAAGCTCATCCAAAACAGCCAATCCACCAATGGAATAAAAAAAATGCTGTATACTTGCTTGAAGAAACAAAGAAAAATCGTAAGAATGCCACCCATACTCCTTTGCTTTAAGCCAAATATCTCCGGGCTTAGTCAATTGATTTTTGGGGGGAAATCTTTTGCAGCAAAAAAAAACAAAAACAAAAACAAACCCCCCCTTCTGTAGTTATTAAAATGAAGCTAGCCATGATTACCAACACCTTAAATTGGGCCCAGACTTCTATTTTTAGCCAGTGTAGATGGTAAACGACCCGTGTTATGTGTGCATATCTAACTGGACCAACTGAAGTATCTGGACCTTCTTCAAGGGGAGCCACATGTAGAGCATGTTACAGTAGTCCAATTGGGAAGTTCAGGTGCCCGATGAAATCTTTTCTTTTTCAATGCACCCATGGCTCTACTTAAACTATTTATATGGCAGCAATAGTTTTCATTTAATTAATTTTAACTATATATATATATATATATATATAGTTAAAATTATAGTTATAATTATAGTTATTATGTATAATATATAATATTATATATATATATATAGTTTTATTTTGTCTATTTATTATAGTATTTTAATTGCATTATTTTATTAATGTTATTATCAACATTTCATTATCATGGCCATCCAGAGAGCATTATGCTAATGGGTGGCTTTTACACAAGTGTAATAAATAAGTAATTAATTTGACATCACATGGGACTAGAACTGTACACAGTTGGACTCCATTCGACTACTCACAGTACATGACTTCTTGAGGCAATGGGTTGCACCAAAGCTCATTCAGGCATGTCAAAGTGAAGAGCTACTCAGTGCTAGTTTGTTTTTGTTGACTTAACTTTTCTGCCACAATAAAAATATCTTGCATTTCTACCATGCTAACTATCTTGTTTACATCAAGCAGTCACATTGCCAATTAAATCCAGGTTGTAACACAACAAAATGTGGAAAAGTCACAGGTAAGAAGGTGAATAATTCTGCAACCATAACTCAGGTCTGTTTTTATTCCTCAAAAATACCATAAACCTGAATTCCCTGGTGTTCAGACTAAGGTTATGATAACATAGGTGGTAGCAGCTGTTCACTATTTAAGAAGGCAGCACCATTCCACCTGTTTTACCTTGCAAATGAAAGCATGTGTCCCATCTTCACTGTAATAATAAATGTATGATGATACCCAGAAAAGGGAGATGCCAACTCAGTCTGGCATAGAAAACATCTACCCTCTCTTTACAGAAATACCTAGATCCACTGCAATTTCTAGAATGTGAAGGCAATTGTACCACAGTATAAGATAGCCATCTTATGGTCATTGGTGAGACTATAGGATTTTTATACAGGATATATAGGACTATAGGAATTTTCAGTGTCCCCTTAGAAGTGCTACAACTCTAAGAAAGGGACTACAAAATTTGATTTTCAGCCACTAAGGGAAAAAAAAGCATGGTGCCTACTTTCCAAGATCACAAACACAGGCTTAGAAGACTTCAGAGAAGTATGTAAGTGAGGATTTCAGTGGATGTGGACTGGAGAGATCAGATTACAGAGAATTGTATGGTCTCTTAAGACCCAGCCCCAAAGTGCACCTCTTGATAGGCTCAAGATGTGACTAGAGGAAAACAAAGCAGCAGGAGGATGGACAAGCAAAAATCAACCATGGCTTTTCCACCCTGCCAGCATAAGCCCAACAGGACACTTGTTGTTGTTGTTAGTCGCCAAGTCGTGTCCGATCCATCGTGACCCCATGGACAACACTCCTCCAGGCCTTCCTGTCCTCCACCATCCCCTGGAGTCCACCTAAACTCACACCGACTGCTTCAGTGACTCCATCTAGCCACCTCATCCTCTGCCATCCCCTTCTTCTTTTGCCATCTATTGTTCCCAGCATTAGACACTTGGAATTCTACAAGTTTTGCTGCTTCCATTTCACAAAGACACAACCCACTGCGCCTCTCCTTCACTCTTCAGTGCAGAAGATACATATGGTCAAATACATTAGAAAGAGCAACAGACATCCCATAAAGCTTTTCACTACAGTTGAATGACGTTTTGTCCCATAAAAACGAATATATTTATACAATGTTAATTACTTACAATTATTTGCAACAGTGAGTCCAATGAATGAACATATTGGGCGAACTATCTCAGGTTTTATACAACTTTGTAGCAAGACTTTTGCATGTGGAAAAACCAAACTGCATGTTTTCTGATTATCCTCTGTAGACAACAAAATAATCATTCAAAAGTATATTGAAAAATAATGGTGTTTTTACCTCTTATTTGCAAGAAAACAAATAATGAAACACATGCTTAAAACCGATAAAGCAAATACTTAAAGTCAATAATCTTACCATTCTGTGGATTATTGACACATGCACAGAGAGCACTGCAAACTGAAGACCACAGATGATACTGATTATCATTTTGATCCAAAAGGTCTACCTTGGATGTAGAAGGAATTGTTCTGTTGGGGAGGGGAAATAATTGTTCTATTGGGAAGGGGAATAGCAATTTAACTTTATAAAACGTTGTAACTTTGTTAGTTACAACTTTGCGTATTTACCTGAATAACTGCAGCAGAACATCAAGGCAACCATATTCTCTCACATATATCTGTCCACTCTCTATAAAATGACCACATATTGGTATATAATGAACATTTAAAAATAAAAGAAACACTGGACTTAAAATATTAAGCAACAATAATTCAGTGAAATCTTCAGACTACTTCAGCTAATTCTATTTACATGTATCTGGAAACCACCTGTTGTGATTTAGGGTGCTTCCTGAAATTGTTCCTAAGGCCAACAATGAGAAGACATTCTGTAGCAACTCTGTCTTAATGAATTTTCTGTGGTTCAAAATAAAGTTGGAAGAAAAATTGCTTGTGTGCTCAATTATAATTATAATTTCTTTTATATGCGGAAGAAAGAAAAATCTTACTGTTATTTGAAACCAGAACTAGTAAGATATAAACAGACATTCTTTTCAAATTCACGCTGGAATCCGTATCAGTTAAAAATATATGGAGGTCTTCAAATAGTCCACAAGTGCATAACATTTGTTGGCAGAACACTGAAACAAAGCAAAACAAAACAAAAACAAAATCAATATTCCTTTGATAGATGTATAACACATCAATATAAAATTCACAACCCTTCATTAACAAACTTAAATCAGTAAATATGATGAAACAATGATAAATTCTACAATACTTTATACAATACAATACTAGATAATACGTGTCTAGTTTACTCCATTAATGATATAAAACAAAAACTAATGCTGCAATCCCTATATATACTTAACTGGGAATAAGCAGTACTGAACTTCACTGGACTTGCTTCTGTGTAGACGTACATAGGACTGAACAGTAATAGTAACCCTGGCAATCTGAGATTTTTTTCCTTTTTAATTCCTTAATGTTGCCATTTTTAATATCAGATTTGTGTCCATTCATTCTTTTGCATAGATCCTAGTTCCAGATTTGGCCTTTGCTGAATGTATTCAAGCTAATACCATAGTGGATCAATATACATTAAACTAAACATACAAAATTGTTTTAGGTTGATAAACCACTATTATTGGTTTAAACTGATAAATCAATTATAAACCAAGAAATGTTGTTTTATTCTAACAAGTATTAGGAAGGGAGAAATCTTTTGATCCATTTTTATTAAAAATATATGTAGCATCATATCAAAAATCATGTGCATAAAATGACAAAACGTATTTATTGTTAAATCAACCAATGCTGAAGATTCTTTCATCCTAATAGTTTAATGGGTATTTATTTATTTATGTATTTCATTTATTACAAGCATTTATATCCTGTCCTTCCACGGAAGTACGCAGGACAGCTTACATAATATAAAATTTTGAAATGCAACATTAAAACTACAATTATTAAACATGCCCTGTTCTGAGACTTGTAATTCCAATAGTTTAAAAAGATCTTTTACTCCAAGTACCAAGTTCCCTACTGAATTATTTTGATTATAATGGAAATTCTAGCATGACTTTCCAAAAAAACTTTTTTCCTTGCACTTATTGAGAATTTTTTTCCTTTTGTTTTCCTTCTAAAGTCACCACCTGTAAGGATGCAATCTTATGCATATTAGACAGAAAAATGTAGGATTTTTAACTGTCAAAACATGCAAAGGATTGCTCCCTATAGTAAGTGAAGGTTGTTAAAAGTCAGAGATAATAATTCAGATAATATATGAAAATTCGCACAGCAGGGAGAAATCCTCATGTGACAGATTTAAAGTAGTGTTTGGAAATTGTTGAATGTATTTTAAAACAATGTAACCTGCAGATATGGACAAAAACAATCAAAACACGATGACAAAGAACATGATGATATGTTAGGCCTGGGGTAAAACTGTGTATTACCATTATTCTCAGCCAAACCTCCTAATGTAAATAAAGCACCTTCCTTGACCATACTGTTCACACTTGACTTTGCAAGGTTATATACAAACATCAGACCACCTATTTCTTGAAAATAATCACTTGCAAAACCTGTAAAAAAACAGAAACAATAAACAAAGTTTTCCTTTTAACAGGATATATTATTTACAATTCACTGAGCCAGGGGAACAAAACACAAAGCAAAATGAGTAAAATACAAAACTCAACATCTTACTGTTTTGTTGACAAACTGAATAAATAGCAACTAAGGCTTCCTTTTGAGAAGAGGGGCGGTCCATTTGATATTTAAGGCATTCAAGTAGTAAATTCAAATCAGTTTTCATCTCTATCAAAGACAAAACAAACAGATTTCAGAATTATTTTACAAAATATTTTGTATTTACAAAAACTGAGAAATGATGGCCACAACTTCACTGCCTTTGACAGTTCCACTGAAGTCATCCATTCATATGAAAATCCTGTTTTAAAATGTGCTTGCCAAATATTTGCAAAAGATTTTGGAGTTGACAATTAGTGGGAATTATATTTCTCTTGGCATATATTATCTTAAAGGAAAAATCCACATGCAGAAAATTCCCTGTCCAGTAAACCACCTATATTCTACAAAGGTTCCCTCAGAAAAAAAAACCAGTTATGATTACCAAACATAATGTTCCAAGTAATATATTCAAAAGAGCACACCTTCAAATCATATTTGAAGATTAGCATAACAGACTGCTAAGATATAGAAAAGTAGAGATGTAAAATAATTTTGGCAAACTTACCACATTGTCTTTTCTGATTATTCACATTTTGCATTTTGATTGCATTCCTTATCTTACTCTTAATTGTAACAAGAAGAGGAGGGGAGAGAGCACAAGCACTATTCCGATTATCACCCTTTGGGAAGGGAGGGTAAAAAGAAATTTAAAGAAAGCATGTTCAGTGTATAAAAGTGTATCCTTCTTTTTGCTGATTTCTTCAATAGCGGTGCATGATTAAGATCACCTAGGATGAATACATCTGCAGTGCCTGTAGCCATCTTTTTATAACAATAGAGTGGTGGAAGAGATGGGAAAAAAGTGGAAAGGGATTCCACTTTTGCATTGTAGTATTTTCTGATGCAGGGAATCTAATAGCAGCGCGGGTGGAGAGGGGCAGCTTTTTGGACCAGTGAGACGTATCTGTGCAGTAAAGGCTCTACTTTCGGGAAGTGAGGAGGGTGTCACAGCGGAGAACAGTATTACTGGGATGTTTCACAACTGAAGTAATAGACCAGTTGGGAACCGCTTGTAGTTCCACAAGGGGGAAAAGTGGAGTATCAATAAACAAATGCTTCTACTTCTGCGTAGAAGCGACAACATTCTGGATTGTTAGAATTACAACAACGGCTTTGCTAACCCTGCATCGGGGTGGAGGGTGAGGGGGAGACCCGAACACTGAGCATGTACAGTTTTGCATTTTAAACTCACTTAAATCGTAGCACTACAGGAATGAAATGGAAGGTACCTTCTGCTGCCTCAATCATCGGGAGCAACGTGGGCTCTACTGTTTTGTGTGGCCTTTTGACAGGAGGCCGCGGGGCAAGCAGTACTCTAGAACCGTATACCAGGTTCGGGGGACTGCCGTGAGGGACGCCGCCTCCTCCTCCTCCTCCTCTGGGTAACGTAACCTCACTCCGGGCGGACCGGCACAGAGGCTCTCTCGGTCGAGAGCGACGGGCACGTGACCTGGTTTCGCTCTCGGAGCGCGGCCCGCGCTTTCCCGCCCAACCGCCGTGCGCGCGGAGCAGGGGGGATGGGCGAGCACCGGCCGCGCTGCCGTGTGCTCGGTGCCCGTCAGCGGCATGGGCGGGCGCGATGGCGCTCGACTGAGGGCTCAGCCCTGTGCATGTCTAGGCCGGAGTAGCCCTACTCCCCACCCCCGTCTGAAGAGGCCTACGAGAGTGCTTGGGCCCTTTGGAACCAATAACCCCAATAATATGGGGTTATTGTCCATACAGAACTCGGCTGCTTTTCAAACTCTTGCTTTCTGTAAGGAATCTACCACTGCCAGGGCATGGCCTACCCGGGGCTGAGTTTGCGAATTCTTTCTTCAAGTGCTGGATCCCTAGAGTGAAGGGAAATAAACTTCTAACACACACATTATTGGTGAATCCTTAGGATGAGGCTCAGATTCGAATTATTGTGAGAGGAAATTAATAAATGCTCCTTTCCTAGCTTCTCATCCTTAGCAAAAAAGCTGACACATCAAAATAGACGGGGTAGGAACATGCAGAATCAGAACTGAGCTAGATCCTAACAACACATATATTATTGGGTATTGTAATACAATGTAATAAGTAACTAGGAATTCAAATAGGCTAAAGATGAGGCTTCAAGCTCGATTCTTTCAAGAGCAATCTAGAAATAAAGTATGAATACAGGGATGGTATGCTAAAATATATGTTGAATAACCAATAACGCATGAAAAATATCTCTAGAATAATGTAAACCATAAAAGCATTGTTCTATTGATTGGGGCTGTCCCCTGGAATTCAGCCTATTACACATGTGTATAAACAGTTTTGCTTTGCATGCTGTATTAATAAATACTGCTTTTTCAAATCTGTTTGGCCCGTTTGCTGCAGAGTCTGACATTACTTAAACTTTTCCAGAGGACTGTTGTGTTAGCCAAAACAAGGATGAATCTTGTGGCACCTTATGACGGACATTTTCAGAGGGGTAGCTTCTGCCACAGAAAAGCAACAGTCTTGCTGCTTTTTAAGAGTGTCAGGGACTCTAATCCCGACTGCCCTAACCGCAGGAGAATGCAAACCACCAGCAAGAGTCAGAAAACCAAAAGCTCTTGATTGAAGGGTGCACCCAGCAATACGGGCAGCCTGCTCCTTCCTTCCTTCCAGATCAGCCCCAGCCATTCGATCCAAAGTTTCATAGCTTTAAGAGCAAACTCAGTCACTGTCATGCCGGCCTGTCCCCATCCGTACATTGATTCTCCTGCACACTCTTGGCTAGAGAAGGCAGGCCACATTCACACCTACCTTAGCAGTGGGCCGTTAAGCAGGAAGTGGCATGCCAGCCACTGTCTTCTCAGCTGAACGGTTTCTGTTTCACTACTGTTGCATTCACACGCAAAAAAATTTTGAATTTCTGTACAACAGGAGAGGCACAGCTTTGGATTGGGGCCTCAGCAATGTTACAGAGTTCAAGCACAGGGAATCAGAAATGTATATCAAGACCAAGGTATAGAAATGTATATCAAGACCAAGGAATTTATATCAAGACCAGAAATGTATATCAAATGTATATCAATCCTAACCTGCCATTTGATCTCATGGATCCCTTACAAGACAGTTCACAAAAATCTTAGACACATAAGATTTACATGTTAAGTACTGTGTTTATTCCAGCTCTGGAGCCAAGTCTCCTGCTACAAATGGTAACATCTTGTATAGGGAAAACATTGAGTACAAGTCTTTCTACTAGTCTCCCAAACATTTAATTACTTTTATCAGCAGTGTTAGAACGGCAGTTTTTCTGTTTGTGAACAATTCTAATAAAGGAGAAGTAATTCTTAAATGGTCCATACAAGTGTAATTTTAAGATCTAGAAATACATTTTCTTGCACTGTTACATCTAAGCTGAAGCAATTTACCAGGTACAGTAAAACCTTGGATTGCAAGTAACTTGGTCTGTGATGTCTTGCAAGACAAGCAAATTTTTTCCCCTAAATTTTAACTTGATAAACGAGCGATGTCTTGCAGTATGAGTATTACACGCGCTTTGCCTGCGTCACGTCACAACTGAGCGCCGGTTCTTCTCTCTCTCGCTGCGGGTGTGAGTACAGCATCATCTCCTCCCCACCAGCATGCCTGCTTCAAATTTTTGTGATTAAAAAAAATTTACAGAATGGATTAACCTTATTTACATTGAACCTTATGGGGAAATTCGCTTTGATATACAAGTGCTTTGGATTACAAGCATGTTTCCAGAATGAATTATGCTCGCAATCCAAGGTTTTAATGTATTATGAAATACAGCAGGAGCCCCATATCCCCATGGGATCAGCTCCAAGCCCCCCAATGGATGCTTGAAACCACAGATAGTAGGGAACACTGCATTTGTGGGGGTCAGGTGCACAGGACCCCCACAAAAGTGGAAAAACTGCAAATATCTCTAGCAGAAAATTGTGGATCTCTCTAAAGAAAAGATGCAAGTATCTCTAGAGTCTTCACACCCACCGAGACGCAAAACACAAGAGAGGCTGGCTGGTACCAAGACAAAGAAAATGCTGTCCCCAAATAGTGCATAGTTCCCTAGAGATATTCAGTTTTCCCCTAGAGCAGACGTGGGCATTGTACAGCCCACAGGCCACATCCGGCCCAATGGCTGACCCTGACTGGCCCGCATGAGGTCACTGGCAAATTAAAAGTCAATGCAAATATATATCGTCATAATATAGATGCAAGCAATACAAATGCAGTGCTTTAATTTTGAAGGATCTGCTAAATTGAATTTATTGCCTTTCATGTAATGTTAATGTTCTTGTGAATATTCATTAAATAGTGTTGTTCTGTGCACCGTATTTTCATTGTACCATTGTAATGTTTCATTTACTGTTTTTATAGAGATATATATTGAGCAGAGCTGTAAGTGTATTGGTCCAGCCCTTAACAACTGTCAAAGTTTCTCATGTGGCCCCATAGGAAAATTAATTGCCCACCCCTGCCCTAGAGATATTTGCAGTTTCTCTACTTTTGTGGAGGTCCTGTACCCCTAATCCTCACAAATGTGACAGCTGATGGTCAACCTTGGTTAAGTGAAACCACAGTAACTGAGGCCATAGATATGGCGGTCCTACTGTACTTATCCCCATTCTATTCCAAAATGCTTTAAAACTTGTTCATTGTTTAAGAACTAATAGTACAAGGTATATCATGTATTATTATGGACGCAAACTTGCCCCCAAGTTCTGTTTATGCTATGGCAAAGTCAGAGCAACAGACCCTTCAGAGCAGCATCAGAGTAGAAGCTACAGCTGGGAGGGGGAAGAAGTTAAAAATGGCTGCTTATTTGCTTTCTCTAGCCAGAAGCCTCCAATGGATCTTGATTTTTCTATGAAAAAACACTCTGGATCCAACCCTGTGCATGTATGCGGCAAGAACACTTTTTTCTTTCAAAATCAAGTAACAAGAGTTTATTCAGAAAGCAAAACATATCACTTGCTGTAAATTTCTTGGAATAAATATTTATTTAAAGACTAAATCCTGCCCCCAACAGTACAGAAAAAAAGCACTTACAACCTAAAGAAATAAAAAGAAATGGTGGTGGTAGTATACTCATTTTTAAACTACATTATCTTCAATGTTGTAGTGCTTTTTATTAACATGTAAAATAAACTCATTACATTTGAATGATGAAAAATTATAAAGAAAAGCAAATATTCCGCCAACAATACTTTACAGAACAAAATGCAAACAAAAGGCAATTATAAATTCAAACAATAAGCTGGTGCTTAGCCTATAGCTTGTATGTTGTTGAGGTCTGTGACATGCCATTGTAGATGTAGGTGTTATTAAAAATTACAAATTGTTTTGTAATTATTTTCACAATCTCCTGAGCTGCAGCTCCTGTAAAATAGGAGAAAGTAACAAAGAAAAAAAAATAGAACTTGATAACCAACATTAAACAG